ATTTGAACAGGGAAGTATGAGAATGACTTAGCTTATTTTGCTAATTTTATCTGATTGCTTACTTTCATACTAAAATCATGTCTTTTTTACTTCCGTTGGAATAATGTTGAAAATACTGAAATGGTTGATGGCCTAATGATGAAAAGGCTTTCTATATTTGTAATTAAGCCAAGAAATAAACAAAATTTATTATATAATAACACGCAAAGGCCTATTTACCGGTGTCTTTCCGCCCTAGCAAAAAATATTGTCGTTCTTTAATAAAAATATTTCTTGCTGATTTGTATTATCATGTATATGGCAAGGGCTGAAAGACTATGGTCAGTAGCTCTTTGTACCATTTTATTATCTTTTATTATAATATTAAATATTAAGGGCGGAAGGACCAATAGCCGTTTGTATGTATGTAAACAATACATTTTGCTTATTATTATTTATATTTGGTTATTTATTTCAGATAATTTTAATATTCATTTTCTGTCCAGGTATATTAGATGGTGTTTTTCTTGTTTTTGTGAGCTTATTTAATATAGTCAATTTATGTATATTTGATATAATAAATATGAATAAAATGTTATCTTTAAGATTCAATTCAGTGTTGGTTCACGGCACTAACCGATGCAAATTATACTTCTTCACTAAACTCAGTCAATGAGATTATCTTTTAGAAAATTTACTGCAAATAAATCTGAAATTATTTTCTTTTATGTTTAAAAAAAATCTTTACATGACTTTCTTATTAGATAAAACAATTAATACAATTTTATAATAATTATTCAATTAACCAATTACAAACAATAATATGAATAACGACATGACAACTGTAAACCTAAAGTATTTTGACTATAAATATAGTTTTATTGTATGACGTCTCTTTAATAATGCATTACATTTTTGGTAGAGGTTATCAATATTAACCCTTGCCCTATGCTAAGTTTCAACTTTGATACCGGACTTTTAAATCGAATTGTACACTTCCAATTGGTTTGTTTTTAATATTTTTAATATGTTTTTAATGTTAAAATATGTATTGTGATTATGTTTTTATTTATTATCCCATTTTATGGCTACTGCAATAGAAACATTGATATTTTATAAATTTAATTTAGAAAATCAGGCTTTTAATGGTTAATCTGAGATATCAAAGCAAATGCTTGAGCGTGTTATTTTTTTTCTTTGTTTTGATCATCAGAAAAACAACAGTAATTTACTCTTCACATGTGAATAATCACTATTATAATGGCTCCAAGGCTATCCACCATTTGTTGTTTGTATTTAATCAATCATTTTGTTTATTATTATTATCTATGATATAGTTAAATATTTACAGAAATTACAAAGCATATTATGAAAAAAAAACTATTGAAACTACTGAATTAATTATTAATTTGTAACTAGAGGTTGATTTCAGGTTACGTAATTATTTTGATAGTCACGAAATAAATTCGGGTTATATAGTGTTAAAGGATAAAGCAAATCTAAGATTTAATATTTATTTTTAAAATTCATGAAAACATCAAATTATATAGTCAAATAAATAATTTTTTTATTGGTTTTTGTAAAACTTTTTAATATGTTTAGTAATATTTATCAATCTTGTAACAGGGATTATGATATTCAATTATCAACTACAAAAATCATTATTATAAAAATTTAAATATTTAATAATAGTTTTTTTATATAATTAACCTAAACAAAAAGTAATGATTGCATTAATATGCACTTGTGTATGTGCTCTAATAGTTATGTTTTTTTGAATTGCTTGAATTTATATACTTAATGACGCCGAAGATGTTTAGAAGAAAGTGCCATGTTCAGTGTCGGTTGAAATGTCCGCAACACCTGTCCATGTAATAAACAAACTGCTTTGTGTAGGAAAATTTGAAAGTGTCATTGCCATTCGAATATCATCTTCTGCATGGACAGGTGACAACCACATGCACCATAAGCTAGCTTACCTAGAGGACTGTCCACATACGACCGCATGATGTATATCTGCGTCTAGCTAGGCTTATCCTGTTGTTGGTGCTGGCTGCTGCACTTACGGCGTCAGCAGCAGAGGCATCGATGCCCATCACTATAATGCACGTAACACAGACTTGTGTAATATCGTTGCATTATTTTTAGACACCCTATTCTTATACTATAACCGCAGAAAAATGTGGCGCGGTAAATTAAATACTCGACGGCAAACGAACAAATAGAAATCATAGCGTGGACGTAGACTAATTATTTGGACGGCAACAGGGGTGGAAATAGGATTGTTGCACTTCATTTACATCTGACGTGCACAAATTGAGGCATTGTTAACAGTTCTTGCGTAGCGAACAAACCAAATCGCCAAATCGTTTTCCTTCTTTATGTATTTTAATTAATTTATACATTACCAAAGCAGACGATATACAATCAGTCTGAAGTCAGTCTATAAAGGTTATTAACATAACATACATCATTAAATATAAGCCTAACCCTGCACGAAATCTAAGGACGGTAATCCAGGGGTCCACAACCCTATGCCGCGGGCACCATGGCGCCCGCGACCGTTTTACGTGTGCATTCACGATAAAAAAAATTGTGTATTATGTGTATTATTGACTATGTCCAACTGTAAATTTACCTTGACAAAATAAATGCTCTTGGGTGCAAAAAGGTTAGGGCCCCTGTCGTAATCTGTTAAATATACATTTGTAATATAATAAAAGCATTATCCAAAGAAAAAGTTTGCATTCTTATGTGTAACTGCATATTAAATACAACCTTATACAGGCATAACCAAAAAATAATTTTGCAATAAGCGTATCTAAATTTAGTCGTAATATAATAATAAAAAAACATTCAGCAGAATAATTATGATATTTTAAAACTCAAAAATATAGCAATTATAAAAACAATAAGGAACTTTGATACTGATGTTCCTGTTTAGTAAAGTAAATCCAGAACTAAGTATTTTTATTTTAAATTACGACACACTTGAACTATAGTTAAACTTCCGAGGCACACTTAAATTATGATGATGTTGAAAACAATTTTATTAATTAATATTTAATATAATTATCAAATTTTATTAATAAATATTTGTTCATGGAAAACTGTCTGAAAATCACTGATCTACTTCTTTAAGTTGTTTTAATACAAACGGAACTATTAGGTAGTTTATATGATTGGAGAAAACTTACAACAATATGTTATTTAAATACATTAGTTAATTATATTAGCGACAATTAATTTCAGTAAAAGGACTATTATTGAAGCAACGCTAGAGATGCAAATAAATTAGTTTAATTGATTTTTTTGCAAATGGACGAAGTATATGTTGTTTTTATATAGCAATATTTTATATAAATTATTTTGTTTACTGTCTCAAAGTCTTCTATGGAGTTGTGGTAAATTGGAAGCAAACTGTAATAAATTTAAAATAAAATATATAACTTGGCTAAATAGATAATTAGTGTTGCCCTATTGTTTTGTATCTGGTTTGGGAAACCTGTTTATTCTGTAATTTCGCAGTTAGAACACTTTCAATTGCGAAACATGAATTTCTATGAGTTGGTATGCATTTTTAAGACTATCTCATCTTGATTACCCTATATGACTTGTAATAAACCTTTTGCGCAAAAAGGTTTATTACAAGTTTTTTGATTGTTTATAATAAAGTTTAAATATACTTTTAGAATGATCGTCAGTTACTTTCGTTTCATTTTCACTTAATTACATGAATTGCATATTTTTTTTATAACAAATGATAGGTTTATAGCGTAATTTGAATCTAAATAAAACACGAGGTAATTTTCAAAGGTTGAACTATTACCAAATGAAACAATTGACCTTTCTTCTCAATTATTTTGCAACGGGTTGCCGTGATCCAGAAATAAGTGGTAAGGAAGAAGGAATGATTGGTTCTTACGAAATTATTTACAACATTGAATTTTACAAGTTATTTCTAAGCTCATGCGAACCATGTCATTGGTTCAATAAATATTTTATTCATTATTTCTATAATTCAAAGATTATTTTTGGTCAAATATTTCGAATAATTAAAATACAATGATGGTAAAGAAAATTGAAGATTTCTAATAAAAGTAATGCTAGGTATGTCGCAGATACGTGCCCATCTTTGAAACTCGAACGGAGATGATTTGCTAAAGTAAAAAGTCGCATTCATACAATTTATGCGGCTGCAGGATCTCATGATCTATGGCAAGTTAGATAGATGGAAATTTTAATAAAAGCAGATACTATTAATTATACTAATTTCAAAATGATAAAGTGTTAATAGATCTTTTTCAAGTAAACATACATTTTAATTTACAAACATTATTTTTACCAAATCTATGAATATCTTTGCATCATTAATAATGGTATAATATAGATCAGGGGCGCTCAGACTTAAACCATCGGCGATCTACCACAAAAGTATTAGGCGCGTAGCGATCGACTAGGTAAAAATAAAATACAAAGTAAATGGTAAGTATGTATATATTGCAAAGATGATGTCATATAAATAAGTATTATGATTGATTGATGACTGCAGAAAGTTATTTTAATTTAAAAAATATAATATGTAATTGATTGACTTAAAAACCTATTGCGATATACCGTTTGAGCACCCCTGATATAGATTATAGAACTATACAACTATAACTAAAATACAAAGCAGGCAATAAAAGTATATAATGATTAGAGTTAGTTAATTAACTTATAAATTAATTTCAGAAAAAGTATATAATTTAAAAAGGTGTATGCTATAATAAGATACAAATATTTATAAATAACATTTTCTAGTAAATTTATTTTTTCTTTGCATCATTAACAATGATGTAAATAGGTGGTACAGTAAAAATAAAAATGAGTGTCATTCAAACAGATGTGTCATTCTATTTGGTTCATAATTTCTTTGTGAGTTTCATGTATTTTTAACTTGTAGAAATAACTCGTGAAATTGTGAAGATGATTAATAGTTATTTTTCATTTCTAATTATGTTTCTTTATTTTGATTTCAGGATGTTCTGCACACAATATGCCAATCCAGTGGGCAAGTTCTTCGAATTGTCATATTTAAGAAAAATGGAGTCCAAGCTATGGTTGAATATCCTTTTTATTTATACTCAGTCTAAATAAGGCGTTTGCTAAATACTTGCAATCTTATAATTGTATTTGGAATAATTTAATTGAATCAGCTTTAAGATATTTTATTTAGGTGAAATATGTATTATGATATAATTGTATGTGCAAGATCAATCATATTAGATATTTTCCTTAATTATGATTTACGTTCGACGGCGTGGAATCAGCAGTAAGAGCAAAGGAGACTTTAAATGGGGCTGATATTTATTCCGGCTGCTGCACTTTGAAAATAGATTTCGCAAAGGTGAGTTATTTTAATATATTATTGTCAATGTTTTCTGCTCAATTCAAATTAATATACCATTTGTTTTGATTCATTCGCCTTAAGCTATATACATTTCAATTGGAGACAGTGTTAAGCATATTATATACAGTTTTTTTTTCTAATTTGACATTGACTTTGTGATGGTCAGTTCATGGAAATATATTCATACGCGCATAAACTTATGTATTCTATACGTTGCGTAACTTTCTTTGTCGAATATATTGAAATAGTGAGAATTGTTCCATGTCTAAAATAATAATAATCAAATGTTTTTCTTTCGCTTACTTTTTCGTATGCAAACTTTTCATTGAAATTTTTAGTTTAACACATGTAGTGTTATTTTTGCTGACGTTGTATATATTCGAGAATTGATAATTGCATATCACATAAATATGTCTAATTATGTATGTCAATAAGTAAGATATGATATAAGATAAAAAGTGATCTATAAATTGGATTCAATATGTAAATTTTAGTTTTGATTATTGAAATTTTAAAGGTTTTAGTTATTAATTGTGCGTATTTATTTGTTATACACTGACATTCTCACATTTAGAATACAGTAACACTTTCTATAAAATGTATTCTGATTCATTTTAATTTTAAACTTATTCGCAACTTGCCCGAAAGTCGTTGTGAATCATTCACATAAAAATAAGCTATATGTGTCTATAATCTATGATGCATTTGAATTAGGCTATTGTTTACTATTTTTTATTTTATACCTGCAACATTCGATTTTAATCGTACGAAATTCAAAACCGGTTATTGTATTTGTGAATTATATATATTTTAAACTATTCTGTATTATAAGATTCAATTAGTTATGGTTCGTATTTATAGACCTTTCATATGTATACTGTAGACTTATTGGTATGCAGTTTACCGGATGCGTCGTGAATCCAATAATGCTTTACTTATGCATTAAGGAAATGCATTTTATTTGCGAGAAGGAATGCAACATTTCGTAATCATCCCCGAGGCTCGAGGTGTATCGATTCCAGGTGATAATTAGTATTCACAGCGGGTAATGTCCAAGTGTTAGGGCTGCATACTAATTTTGGACAAGGGCGTCAGGTTGAAAAGAATATATAATGAGGTGAAATGTTTTAATAAAGATGCAATCGAAGTTTTAGGTAGGATATAATAAGAATACCATATTTCATGGAATCAAAATTCCCATGGCTCTATCGTTTACATATGTTAAGACCGCTAATTTACGAGCATCGTACGGACAAGAGGTGTCGCAGATTCTTGGCAAACAACCTCCGCGATATGTTCATTACAATGTGCCTTCATGATCATAATGGGTAATTTTCAAATGGATGTGTTCCAATGAAATCTTGATTTTTATATATGTGACATGTTATAAATCGAAGTAGCTTTTATTTTAATTATAGTACATGGCGTCGCTGTAAGACACCGCCCTCAGAATAAGGTTTATATTGGCAATTATATGATGACATAATACCTTTGTTTTTTTTATGGGTGGTAATATTTTTGCCTTACGGGGTGGTTATAACAATGACATAAAACTATATACGGGGCCTTATCCACTTATGGTGAGCGATTTGTTACGATTTGCTCTTTGTTACATTTGTTGACTGGTTTGTTGATTAGTTACAAGAAACATCCGCCCTTTTCCGCATTCTGTATTCCCCATGTACGGTTAGTCAAACACAAAACAAACTGACAAGTGCATTAGCATTTCCTATACACGGTCAATACACTTTATGTAAATGGCCTCACCACCAGAAGACATTCATGCAAATTTCAAATGCGTTTTCTCAAATAAATAAACAAGTTATGCGAATTTTATGGTAATATACAAGGGAGCGGGACGAGAAAATTAAGTAAGAAAACGGACTTATATTGAAATAATTATGCAATGTTAATTGATTTCGTAGCTTATTAAGAAAATGTTCATTTTATTGCATATTTTTTTTTTTTACATATTTGCACAAATTTATTACGCGATAATACAATTTATTAATAAATTTAAGGAACGCGAGAATATATATACTAAATTTATCAATTTTCAACTTTTTAACTATAAAATTAGTATTTAATGAACACCTTTTTATTATATTTCTAAGCAATTAAATTGCCGACAATAATATTAAACATTTCATCTTTTATAAAATAAATAAATGTTAATAAAATTCAGAAATTCAATATTAAATGGATATGTCGAGGATATTTTATGAATTAGCAACATAATTCAAATTTCTTAAGTTTGTTATTATTTATATGAAGGTAAGCTTTTTTATAATTAAAGTGTGTACTACACTTGGTTTAAATCATTAAAAATGATTCTGAATTAAGTTAAAAATAATCTACAACGTAAAATAAAATCACCAGTTGAAGGATTATATTCCAAAGGACTAGGTTATTTTTTAAAATTTTATTTTTAACAATTGCACTTTGTGATTACATAACAATGAATAAGAATAGGATTGTATTAGTTCTTCTTTAGTTGACGTACCTAAAATATGGTAATTTACTCATTCCGCCGTGTAATTATAGCATCTCTCACTCGGTGAGGAGCTGCGGTTTATTTTTGTAGCCTTGTAGCGCGACGCCACCGTTTCATTAACAAATTTATGTGAGTTTCGGTGTTCGGCGATGTACTTAATCCCTTTTTATCTTCTTCGGAGAAGAATTAGCTTCGGAAGAATTAGGCAACTAAGTCACGGAGCCGGGTGGAAAATTGTTATTTGAAGTATTTGGAACAGGCCAGGAAAACGGGTGGACCAGCCATATTGTTGCATCTCTCGGTACATTTTGGCACCGGACGCCGAGGAATGTTAATTGCCGACCAAATAATAAATATCGGCCTATTTGCTTAAAGTGCGTGCAGCTCGAATCGCTAGAAGGAAGGCTGGCTAATTCATTAGTTAGGCAAATACCAATTGAGATGAGCCTCTTGAACACGTACATAAATTGATGATATCATTGCGCAATTATGTAAATCGGCAACAGTGTAATTACGCTTGTTTGTGCGTTTTGCAGCTCCTCGCTGAATCGAAATATGTGTTAATGTGCTTAATAAGTCAAATCTTGTACGTTCTTTTAGTTTTTTTTATTTCTTTTCATCTAAGTGGATTCTGTTAAATGTTGGCGATAAATCCGAATCGTGGTATCAAGGCTTTATTTTGTTGTCCCACATGCCAATTGTGAAAACCCGCTGAACTTAAATCCATGGTATCTATCAAAGGTCAACGATTTTGCTCTCCCTCTTTTTCATCCCTAAAATCAATAGAGAAAGTCCGCTTGTTGGATGCTTTCATTACTAAACATTACACAGCTACTTAAATGCATGTAGCAATTTTATTCGTTATATTATTAAATAGCAAAAAATATTGTTAAATACCATACACACATTATATAACTGATCATTGAGTATATGAAATACAATTCTATGCGAATATTATTGTTGAATGTAGTTAATCGTTCATATATTTTATAGCAATATATAAAATAAGACTTCCACGAGACTTTTAATGAGTTTGTAATTTAAATCCAATTGTGTAATTTTTTCATTATCAAAATATTTTGCATTTTAATATGCTATAAGTATGTTCTTCTTTGCTTTTTTTTTATAATCGATGTAAATAGACTCGATAGATTAGATTTAGACTAAAACTAGTATTAAATGTTATAAAATTAGTAAATTATATGGAAAATTACTAGAATGTAATATATTTCAAGTGTAAATGAAAATATTGTAACGTGAAATTGTCGATTAGCTCATATACAAGATTTTGCAAAAAAGCTAACTGAATCGATGAATAGGTTCGTCCTAGCGGTAGTACTTGGCTTCTAACAGCCAGATACAAGGGGCCTTCTAAATGCCATGTGTATTTATAAGTGCATCCGTATGGCAAGTACTTATTCATTTTCTCTTTACTGTCTCTGCTTTGTATTTATTGCCTTGTCGGTGATTTAATGTATTTAAATTTGCACCCAATTAATGGCGGTTTAAACGATCCAGAAGTCCAGGAATTCTATTTGCATGCAGAATGTCATTAAATACTGTTTACATATAGGGCGTGCGTAATATTTTTAAAATAGTTTGAAATAAGATATTATATTATTTCATTTAATTATATATAACAGCTAATAATTACTTTTTTTGTGTATTTATTTGTTAGGGAATATTGCAGTAAAATATGAGTTATTAATAAAAAATAGCCATAAATGAATCTAATGTAGTAACTTGAAAAATAGGGATTCATGGAATACAGTTTTATTTTGGTTGCACGAAAAAAAAAACGCCTCTAGAGTCTATATTTATAGTTTTCTTCCACTTGTGGCAATATTTTATTTATTTTCTCGTCCTATTAATATATAAAGTAAATTATGTTTCACACTTTTAGAGAATATAAAGATTAAAACAAATACAAGATTTTTACTTACAATATATTACTTTATATAATATTATATTTTCTTTAAAGTATTTATAAATACAGTGGAATCTCGCTCAACGAGCACCTCGCATAACGAGCACAATAAATTGTAAGAAAAATGAAACGCATTATCGTATATTACATTAGTATATATGGGAAAAATATATAGTGAATTTTCACAATGAGTTTTTTTTAAACTATTTTTTTAGAACTTTATGAGAGTAATGACAATTGTAAAGTTTTGTTAGGTTTTCGTATCTTAAGTGTATTTCGGAATAGTCAATTTATTATATTCACAGAGCGTGAAATGAAACGTTCAGTTTCCAGCTTTTTAATGTTTATTTTTTATATTTCTTATTTAACCGACTGCAGAAAAGTAAATTTATTTTTTTACGATGTAATTTGTTTTTCGAAAACGAGCATTGAAGCTATTGGCACGTGATTGTTTATTTCAAGAATACATTTATTATTTTCATGTCTCTTTTTTTTTCTTCTTTAAACGTGTTGTTTCGGTCTTTTTAAATAGATTTTCGGTTGGCAATTAACTTTTAATGATTGATTGTATTATTA